TTTGCCAACACATTTTCGATTCAGTGAAGTGATATGAAAACTCAGATTTCAGATTAAAAGTAAATTTTGTATGAATTCATTTTTTTCTGTTACGTTTAAATTATTTTTAAATGTTTGAAATATATTGCGTGAATTAGTCACCTTTAATTCAGTACTTGACTTTTATACATGAGATTCAATTTTATTGTTAATTCTGCAGATGTGGCACAGCACATTTAATTAAAAAAGCCAGGATACTTTTTACTGTAGTTACACTAATATCTCTATTAGAGAAATTTGATCTACATTTATCAATATTTTGAATCATTACTTATTACATACAGCTATAAAAGTTTAAGAAATAAAATATACTATTTCTCTCGTGCTATGCTTCCTTCAATGTTTTCTCGAAAGCCAAATGAAAAACAAATAGTTTCAGATTTCGTTAATAGATGGCAGCACTAACAGTTTCAGAATAGACTAGAATTATGTCAACTACATATCTATACTATAGACCAAGCTTCTTAAGCTTTTTTCAGTCGCGACCTCTTTTTATCACTGAGATTTTTTTCGCGACCCCAGGACCCCCCCCATAATATTTACGAAAATGTTGTGGGACTCCATAAGCATTGCGCAAATTCGACACACGCGTGAGTGAAACTGTCAATTTTTTCACTTCAATTTTTTCTTTGTCTGTATTGTCTTATTTTTATCTATTTTCAGATACATTGTCAGTGGCGTAGCTAGGGTGGAGCAAATGGGGACATCTGTCCCCGGGCGCAACATCCAAGGGGCGCCAAACTGATGTGATGAAATTGCAGAATGAAATGTTTTCCATTCTTGGCACACAAAAAGAGGCGCAAAATCTTCAGTTGTCCCCGGGAGCTGAAAACCCTAGGTACGCCTCTGTACATTGTATAAAAACATTTTGTAATTGTAAAATTATTATAATAAGTTAAAGAAATATCAAAACTGCTAAAATTTTTGGTGACCCTCACAGTTTAAGAAACTCTGCTATCTCAGGCTTCATTTTTGAGGACTCCACTGTATGATCGTGTTGTTGTTCTGCTGAAATACAGTGTTATAACTCTTACGTTTCTGTTCACCCCCCCCCACCCTGGCCTCCTATTTCTATATTTTTCCTCCTCCGAATTTTGTCCATCATCCTTAAAACTCGAGTTAAAATAACTTAAAACAATGAATAAAATTAAAATTCAAAAGGATTTGCATTTTTTAATGCTTCAAAACAACATCCCATATATAGCAAAATAATTACAATGCCACTATTTCACCTAATATAATTTCAATATATATATTATATATATTTGTGCAAAGGCTTGTCCCTGAAGGACTATTTTTTTTGTTTTGCCAAAATTATAAACGGCGTATCACTTTCCAAATCGTTGCCACCAAAAACTATCGGCCTGTATTATATTTGAAGAAATTAAATAATGAAGAATCTGCATAAATGTATGTATGTTTCTCGCATTGTGATAAAACAACGGTACCTAGAGCTATCCAATTTTGAATGACGCAACCTTACTGCGAATATGGGCATCTGAAAGCCCAAATTTGAAATCTGGAATTTGTTTTATTATCGATTTCACACTTTGTAAAACTCAACGATTAACAAACTCAACGATTTAAAAGCGCGCAACGGCAACACTCTACGGTGGGGGGAACACGTTTTAGCTCCAGCACGTGGATCTGTGTATCCGAAATTCTAAAGATATGCTGATTTTCAAATTATTTTGCGACGTTGCTGTTGAACTGAATTATATGGTTTAAGTGCAAAGAACGTGATATTTAATAAATAAAGGTAACACACAAAATGTTTAAAAATGCCCCTTTGGACGTAATTTAAAATCTGAAACCTTTCAGTTTTTTTAATTTTGGGGGGGGGGGGGAGGGGGACTTAATTCTCGATCTGATTAAACGAGCTTTTTAGCTGCAGCGCGCAGAACTGTGTATTTCTCAATTCTCTGAAATTCTAAAGATATGCTCATTTTAGAATTATTTTGTGACATTGCTCTTGAATTGAATTTTATGGTTTAAGTGCAAAGAACATGATATTTAATAGATAAAGGTAACACACAAAGCGTAAAAAAATCGCCCTTTGGACGTAGTTTAAAATCTGAAACCTTTCAGATTTTTTTGGGGGGGAGGGGGGGGCTTAATTCTCGATCTGATTAAATGAGCTTTTTAAACAGCAGACTCTAATTTGTATTAATATACAAATAATTAATTACACAAAAAGTTCAGAAATTTCACAAATACTGCTCATAAATTTTTTGTGATGTTTCCACCCTCTTTAAATTCCTTCTCAATTAAACTGAAGTTCAAAGATTGTATCAAACGTAATTTCATTTTATAAGCAATGCAAACTATTCTTAATGCTTGAACTTTATAAAAAGTTTTTTTCCTCCAATTTCTGAAGTTTTTTTTATTGAAAGAAAAGAAAAAAAAAAAATTCAATTAATATTATTCCTTATTCCTCATTTTTTAATCATCTCTTTAATTATTTGAGCCATTTTCAGAAAGTCTTTAGGTTTTATTTTTCACTAGCAAAAATAAAATATTCCAAATTTTTAAAAAATATGATTTTAAGGTGCTCTTTTTTTTTAAGGTAAACCCTGAAAAAATAAGATAGTATAAAAGGAAACAATTTGATCAAATTTATTTTAATAGTTAGCTGCCCAAGATAACTGGGATGAGGAATGTGAAATATGACTAATTAGAACATTACTAATATTTCATAATCTACTTCAGCAAATAAATAATTTATAATCAAAATATGCAATATAATGCAACTACAATATTGACAGAAATGTAATTAAAATTTTACATCATTATATTTAATATTTATTACTGTAATAAATAGGTTTTGAAGCATTCATTATTATCATATAAAAATTATCATCACAAACTAAAAAACTTAGTGTTTATTTGTTATTGTTATTTTTATTATCATTATTGTTATTATTATTATTAGACATTATAGTTTCCTCATTTATTTAACTGTGTTTCAAATAAGGCACATCAGCTGAAAGTTGTGATGAATAATTTTGTTGCAAAATATATTCTTATCTATGCCAAGCTATTAAAGACACATAGCAGAGGAATTTATTAAAAGTTTTCCTCCGGGAAGTACATGCTATTAATAGTCGGTTAAGTTTAAGCAAGCTCAAAGTTGTTTAAAAAATGTACTAATTCAAGAGTATGTTAGAGACTTGTTAACATTAGTACTTTGAAAATAAAACACTAAGTAAAAATCATTGGGAAAGCATTATGACTTATTAGAAATGGAATTATGTTCACTGGAAATTCTTGGAGAATAAGTTATGAATAAACTAATATCAATCTACATGCCTCTGTGGTGAATGTTGAAACTGAAAGAAGCATACACAAAGATACTTTTTTTTTTTTCCAGAACATGAAAATACAAGCGATTTATTCTATTTCTACAAGACATAATATATCAGAAATTATATGTATGCAGACATTCTAATTTACAAACAAATATCACAGAATATACTTGTAAATCTAGCTTTACAAGATCTTTGCTTAGAGCTTTCATATAGCTTATACTCTAAGTGCATTATCTATGCATGGAATTATATTACCTGATCTACATTCAGGTTTTCCTTAAATATTTTTAAAACAATAAAAACTCAAAAACAGAAATGCAATTCACTACGAACAACAGCAGTTAGAAATCTTTTTTACATAACATAATTTTCTTCTCTCTAGTTTCAGAATATTTTTCAAGAATACTAACTGCAGGACAAATAGTTTCTGTCATTTGTAAAAGTGATGCAGTAATTTAATTATTCAGTTTATTTAATTATATATGTGTGTTAATGACATTATAATTTGTAAGTCAGCAATCAAAAGTGTTGTAACGAAATAACTTAGAGAAATGTAGAAGCTAAGGAAAAACTAAAAAGAAGTTGTCTACCTGGGCCTTTTGAGAATAAGATAAATATTCAAAAGCTTTTCAAGGTAAATAATTTTAAAAAGTGGCAATCCGTAATTTTCCTTTTGTTTTTTCAATATTATGCTCATCTAACTGAAAAATATATATACCCTTATACACTAATTTTTCTTAGTAATTTATCAAACTTTTACTTATAATTAATTTCCTAAAATAAATTATATAATAATAATTTAATTTCTAATAAAATAGAAAATAATAATTTAATTTATAATAAATTTCAGAAAAATTTTGCATTACATTTAAAAAAAAATGCTTTCAGATCTTTGTATAAATTTCATATTGTGTTGTACTAGACCCATATTAACACTAATTACTTCTTTCAATTAATAGTATTACAATAGACAAAATACACAGTAGAATGCTTTAGCATCATAAAAAACGGCAACATAGCTGTTCAGCAATGGAACAACTTTGACAATCACTATATTTTATTTTTATTTTATCAGTTTTCAAGATACTTATATTATAAGATTATATGTAGAAGATTATGTATATTACCATACAAATGTGGTACTCAGATGCAAAGATCTATTGCCAAATAAAAATTAAAATCATTTCAATATTTTCCTTTTTTTCCGTCAACTTTTCACAAGTTGACAGGAAACTGAGAATTCATTTATTTATATGGACAACTTATCCACTTAGAGAAAATTATGAACTTTACATGCATTAACAAGGGGAGGGAATAAGCAAATAAAAACAACAACAAATACTAAATATTCATTTGAAATTTTTAAATATTCCATTCTGTCATCAGAATACTCCATAAAAACATAAATTTTAAATTTATATTGAAATATTTAAAAACCTTAAAAGTATAATCCCCATTGTATAATTAATTGGTAAATATTTTTGAAATAAAATTGCAGATTATTTAAGAACATTAAAATTTATATTAAATACATAAAAATTCCTTCTAATTATCATAAATTAGATTTAAAAAATTTTTTGAATATTTTACATTTTAACAAGAGTAAATCTAAAATTTTTAATATTCATAATGGATGAATCATTTATTAAATATTACAATGTATTTTATTGAATACATAATTAAAAATTAGCACAATGATATTTTATTATGTGATTAGACATAAAAAGTTATTAATTAAGCTAGTTTAAATTATGTTCTCTAAAAGGTTAATTAAGAATTCTAAAATGTTACACAGTAGTAGTGTTAAGATTTATATATTACATGTTATTAAACATATATTGTAATACAGAATAATACAAGTAAAAAAATGCCTTGTGCATATTCAGCTCTATAAAAATATTAAATTATATTTATTTATGTATTTTTCCCTTAACACTATCCAAAATAATATGCTATAATATTAATTCTACATGCAAAATGCAGGAAAGACAGTAAGTCAATTTCAAGCATTTGAACACCGATTTGAATTGCTTATTGTCGAACTCTAGTGACTTAGCATACATTAAAGCTTCTAAAATTTGCACATATTTAGCTTAATTTGTAAAATTTTCAAACAGTAGCAGAATACCTACAACAGCATTGTACAGAAATTAATTTTCACGTTTTAAAGAAAGAAGATCTGAGGTTATAGCAGATTTCAGTTATGCTATATGTAAAAAAAATCTATAAGCTATATTTTAAAGCCTAGAGTGGGAAATTTTATAGATACTATTTGCCATTTCATCAGCATCCATAACTAGAAATACTATGCAAGAAATATAGCTCTTGGAAGCCCTTAAAGTCATATAAGTGTAGATAAAAATAAAAGAATGATTTTGTGCAAAAAAAATTAGGTTTCTCCCCACAGTCATTTAAAAAAAAAAAAAAAAAGTTATTTTAAAAATGAAGATTGCAGGATGCCCATTTTGCAAGAGATATTTTTAATCTCCCTGTTATTAGTTATCCTCTGGTGGTATTTCAAAAGGAATTTCTTTAACTAGAGAAGAAATAACATATTTAGATACAACAAAGTTCTCCTACCTAAGTTGCAAATTATGTTAAAAAAGGAACAAAAAATTTTCCATTTTTTCCTTTTAATTTTTTTGAATCTTACATGAGTAAAATTTTTAAAATAGGTAAATATTATAAAACAAATAAATAACCTAATTTAAATGTGGATAATTTAATAGATTTTACAAATTCGTATCAACAAAGTAAAATCAATGGAAAACACAGAAAAATTTAAAACTTTTCTTAGAAGTCTATTTTATCCATTTACAAACATGAAAACATAATTTATGAGAAAGAAGTATCAAAAACTGCAATTAATTTGAATAGCTAGATAAGGTTAATATTAGAAACACCTTCTATCAAATATTTATAAACTGGAAAAATTAAATGGTCCCAACGATACGTTAGAATTTCTTCAAACTGAAGAACTGTTTATTTTTAAGAACAATGAATAAAAATAATGCAAAAATTTATTTAACAAATTCATTCAAATTTAGATTTATCTAAAAAAATAAATTATGTGTGAAAAAAAAATTGTACTTTTCATTTAAATATAGTGTTTTTATTCCAAGTATATAAGGAGTGAATATTAATAAATTTTTTAAAAGGCAATTATAAGTAAAACATTTACATTTTAATGGCTTTAAAGATTTTCACATATCTAAAAAGATATTTTTAAATCAATAACTACAATATATACATAGAGCTATAATCTACAAGGGTCCAAACTTCATCTAAGCAAGATAGGCTTAAAGAATAATTTCAGTGAGCAGTTACCGAGTATCCTATATTTCAAAGACTATACTCATCACATAAACAGAGAACATTAATGAGCACAGAAACATGTATAACAGCTAAATTTTAACATAGATAAGTGATGATACACTTTATTATCTTTAAAAGTGGAAAATAAAAATAGTTTTTAGTTATATTAAGTAGCAACACTTTGGCATATTAGAAATATTCACCTTGCATATGAATTTGCTTGAGCTTTTTGCGAGTGTTTGGATGATGAGTATGGTTTTTTATCCGCATAACCACTGAAGCTCAAGGATCGTTCAAAAATGGCTGCCCTATCTCGTATGCGTTTGGAGGGACCACAGGTTTGACTAGTATCAGATGACTCTTGACCATTACTTAAGTTCACACTTGATGTCTTTGGCACATTATTAGGGGAAGTTTCAGCTTGTTTAGAAACAGATATAGTCTGAGTAAGCTGTGCAGGAGGATAGGGAGTTGAAGACACAAATGATAACCTGCAGACTGGTGGTGGCACTGATTTTGGTCTTTGTCTTGATGTAGAATTTTTTTTTCTACTCTCAAATGAAGACCTTGAGTAATGACTTCCATCACAGGCATTGAATTTTTCTGGTGCAAGCACAGATCTCCCATTTTCACAAAGAGGTTGAGAAATTCCTTGCTGCAAGAATTCAGTTCTCATCTTTGAAGTTATACTACCCGGTCTGGTATAAGTTTGTTGGAAGCTAAAAAATGAATTTTCATCACTTTCAGAATATTTTTGATGCATTTTACTGCCACCTGTAGGATCTGCCTGATGAGATTTTTCACTATACAGCTGCTCAGATAGCCAATTAGATTCTACACTCTTTGATTTGTTATTCTGCTCTGTTGTCAGAGATTGAGGTGATGATCCTTCAAATGGAGAAGTACTGAAACTACCATACGAGTTGGATTGTACAGAGGATGTCATCAAATTATCTGATGACAAAAATGCAGTCCTGGAGTTATTCACTTTTGTACGATGATCACACTGTCCACTAGTCCAGCTCCTACTCCCAAAAGAATCATATGTATCACTATTAATGGACCCATTTTTATTCCAGTCTTGTGTTAGGAATGAAGCTTTAGGATGAGGAAATCTAACTACACATTCAGTCTGAAAAATATGCTCCTTCGTGTGTGAGATCTGATTGTCTTTGCAACTTTGATTAGAATCAGCAAAATTTGAAGACAAACTTTTAGAAGATGTTAGAGGAATATTATGATTTATCACTTGAACATTAGAAAAGACACTTTGAGATTGCTTAGGTGAAGCTACACTGTCAGTTCTTTCACACATATCACTTTGTTTTTTATGACTTTCAAATTTTGACAATAATTCTTTAACAGAAGGCTTATTTTCCATCCTTATGTAACGTGAATATCCATGAGTGAATGCCATCTCTGATGTTTTCTTATCATCAGCAGTCTCTCGCAAGCTTTTCAAGACGTCATCCTGATCCATCTTCTTTCTATCACTATCAAAGGATTTAACTGGAGATTTACGAAAATCTAAAGCATCAACAAATTTCTTTTCACTTTTTAATCTACTTTTATCTACTTCAGGAAAGGATTTTTCTGTTTTATACCTCTGTCTCTCAGCTTTGATCTGCTCCATTTCAAGTTTCATTTGCCTATCTCGAACAATCAGTCGACCTATTTCAGACTCAAATTTCCTCCTGGATTCTTCAATGGGTGATATAGGAGATAACTTGTCGCTACAACTCCGCTTTTTTTGTAAACTCGAATCCACAAATTCACTGTTCGCTCGAAAAAGTTCATGACCTAAGCTCCCAGATACAGCAATACCAGAAACAAATTTTGGGCAAATCTCATGAACTTCAGTCATACTTCTTTCAAGCGATCTTGGCCCTGGAGACTTAGCTGAAGTCTTTATGTCATTAACTAATTTACTCGCTAGGTTACCATTTTGTTTCTGTACTGTTGCTGTGGGACTCTTATCAACAAAGTTTTCAGGAGGTGATAAAATTATATTTTCAACGAAGTTGCTGTCAAGAGCTAAATGCCTATCGGTGTCCTGACTGATACCAATCTCTGATGGCACTGGAGAAAATATAGCCGCTGTTCCTTCTTTCTGCTTATAAGTTATATTTACATTATTTGTTATTTGTAGCAGTTCTGTTTCGTTGGCTAATTTTTCTTCAGCATTTTCATCCTGTTTTGTTATTTTATCATCCTTTTCATCACTTTCACATAAACAGCTTGCATTATTAAATAAGTGATTGTTTTGTATTTCATTCACAACTGATCCAATTGCTACTTCTTTTCCTAATTCACTAGCACTATCACCAGCTTCAGAATCAGCACTACTAGGAATTTCACTAACATTGTCACCTGTTGGAGACTCGGGAGTAACAGAGCCATTTTGAAGACCTACACTATGTTCGAGTTGTTTATCTTTACTAGCCGAATTACCTACCGACAAGACTTGATCATTATCAAATGAAAGAAGAGAGAGGCTAACAGAATCAGATCTAGTTGCTTCTACTGAGAAACTAATTGCATTATCATCAGCATCATCGTGAATGCTTGCATTTTGAAACTCTGACACTGTCATTGATTGTTGATCTAGTTTTTCAAAATTTTCTTCTTCATTTACATGTGACATATCCAAGTCTTGATATTCTCTATGAATTTCTACAGGTACTGAATCTTTTTTATATAATGCACTTAATTCCGTTTCCTGTTCCAATTTAGATACACATGTTAAAGACTCTCTTAAAGGCACTGTAGTTTGCTCAGAAAAAGAGGTTTGTTCAGCAATATCTGACTCCTCATTCTTCTGAAATTCTACCTTAGAATCACCTTGCTTCAATGCTCTACATTTTTCCAAAGCTAAATTGTCATCAACTATCATTAATTCACTTTGTACTAAAGGCTGCTTTTCGGAGTTCTCATTATTCTTTTCCTTTTTAGAAAAGTCTTTTTTCTTCACCATCGGTGGCGAACTTAAGGTGTGATAAAGACGCTTCAAAGACAATTTTTGCAGTTTGGGGCTCGAAGCTTCTGAATCAAAGCTTACAAGTTTTTGTTTGTGCGCAGTTTTATTTCTTCCTAATGAATCTTTCGCACTTTGAGCATGGCAGATGTCTTCTTCCGCAGCTGAACTCCGAATCTGGTTTACAGCTGAAGTAGGTTTCTGTAATGGCTTCATCTCAAGCAATGAATCTTCATCCAAATCTAATTCATCATCCATTTGGAAGTCTATAAGTCTTTCAAAGTAAGAATCATGAGAAGTTGAGCGCATATGTTTCTGATAAGTTGATTTTGCAAAAGATGATGGAGTTATTTCTTTTGCTATATCGAAATCAACAGATTCTGGAGGAGATGTAGTAATTTCATCTGTAAGAGGAGAAAGAATTTGATTACCATTCAAGGAAAAAAAAATTTTTTTTCCTAACACATTACCTACACATGTAACATTTGATTTATACAATATTCTTAGGTATTCAAAAGAATCATATTTTACCATTATTAATATATTTAAAAAACTTTTATTGAAATGATCTTTACATTACAAAGTCATTAACAGCCGCAAAAGAAACTAAACAAAAGTGTAAAAAATATAGTTCATTAATATGTTCAGTTGAAATAAAGATATTTACATCAAAAAATTATTATAAAAAAATTCAATCATTGCCAGTAGACTTAACTATTACAAAGGTAAAATGCTCATCCAAATAACATACTTTTTTGGCATTACATTACAATATGCAAGAATTCATATTAACATTTCGTAATATGCAAGTCATAATTCCTGCTAAAAGCTCCTAAATTTTAAATGCATTTTAATATGCAAGTAAGCTTTGGATTTTACTGATTATATATTGAAATATATAATCAGTAAAATCATATGTAGTATATACTATAATTAATGGCTTAATTCACTTTTAACTAAAAATAATTACATGAAAAATGTTGCAATATTTAAGGGAAAAAGTAATTCTTTTTAAACATTGCCCTAGATGGAAAACATTTATGGAACAGCATATTTTAGCTAGTAAAATCTTAGATAAAATGAATTAATTAATTTTGAATGTATTTATAAGTTTTAACACTGTTTATATCTTGAAATGGAAAGAAAATGAGTGTTTAAATAAAATGTTATATGCTAACTCTTAAATATTTTTCTTAACTAAAATTACTTCAATGCAGATTAAAGCATAATTTAACTTAAAAAGCTGGAGCTGCGTATCACTTTTATAAAAAATTTACAATAACTTAAATGGCATACAGTACTCAAGGAATCTAATGAATATGCCAAAGTTTTTCTTACATTTAATTATTTGGCTTATTAATATATCCAAAAGTTTTGGTAAAATGAAAAATACAGTTTTGTAAAATGGCCATTGTACTTTTATTTAAAAGTAATTCTTGCAAATTTTTAATAATTTTATAATTCATGTGTTATCACATTGTAGAAAAATTAAAAATATCTGCATATATGTTTAAGGAAAAATAAAATATTCCTCACCTACAGGGGTGAACTCATAGTCAGTTATCTGTTCGGATAAATTGGAAGATATAGGAAATAGAGACTCAGCACTTTTAACGCTCCTCAGTTTTTTGGCATCAGTGTGAAAAACATCAGATTCTGTAACAGCCTTATCCTGAAAAATAAATTCTAGTTTCAAAACTATATAAATTCAACAGATTCTGAAGTTAAGAAATAAGTTATGAATATTCTCTTTCAGAGAAAAACAACAATGATTTTTAATGAGAGAATAAAGGAGAAAAAATTAGCCAGGTCCATATTAAAGATATGAGTATAATTAATTTTGTAGAAAACGTCTATTTTTATAGCTCTGTTATTTTGAGATTGTGCTTTAGTTTACATATACTTGTAGTTACTCTTAAAATAAATAAACTATTTTAAAATATTACCACCTGCAAGATTAGAGGTGAATGTTCTGAAAAGATAGGACTACCAATCTTCGGCCTTTCAGACTGCCCCTCAGTCCTGGAGCGTCGACTTTTTCGACGCCCACTAGTGGTATGCCAACCTCTTGAAAAAAATGACCGCCAGCCTGAAGGGGATTTTTTGCCCTTGCCCATTGATCTTCGCCTGAAAAAAGTATTTAACATATATAGAGCAATATTTATTATGAATTATGAATTTATATCAAGAAACACACAAACTTGAATCTTAAATTACTACATCAGTTTTAGTAAAATTCTTCGAATGATAAGTGTGTCAAGCACTCTCAAAGTTCGTGTGATTTTTACACTAAAATTGACTGACACCATTTTAGAATAAAATCAACACCAGTCTAATGTTGAATTTTGCCCAATTAAAAATATTAACAATTATGTAATATCCATAAGCTATTGCCCTCAAGCATTTACTAAAGCTTAATAGTATATCCGGCAAATCCAAAAAATAAAGACTGAATAAAACATAACTTCTTAATATTTCATTTTATGAACAATTAAGAATTATTTTTATAAAGTTATATCTCATGTTAAAAATATGAATAAATAAACAAAGCAATGTTTTAAAAAGTTATTAATAAATTTGATACTTTTATTTTTCTGACATTTTAATCAAACACAGGCATATCAAATCTGTGACCTATACATGGCATTCAGAGCCTACTGATAGAGTTCATTAGGTATAACCTAAACATAAATGGAAATAAAAATGCATATAGTACAGAATGAAAATGAGAAATGAGTAAGTTTTAAAGGATATGACTACTTAAAAAAAAAAAAAAAAAAAAGCATGCACTTTTCAGACCAAAAATAACTAATCAGTGAGGATTCAAAGAATGACAGTATTCAAAATTTAATTGAAATTCTGTAATTTTACAAGATTAAAAAAAAAAGCAATAGTTTAATTTATTCATATTTTTGATAAATTTCAAAATGAGACTGCTTTTATGTGGAAAGCAAATGAACTATTATCTCCTAATATTTTTTTCAACGTGACATCAGTGTAATATTATTTAAAAACAATGTCTTTTTTAATTCTTTGACCAGTTTCATTAAATAATTCTCTTAAAAAATTAATTCCAAACTAATTAATCTATACTCACACGGAGAGCTTAAAGAACTTTTTACCTTTTAAATCTGCTGACAGCAAAATGTTTTTTGACAGTAAGCCTTTAGTTTTTCAAACATAAACAGCAAATTTGAGCAGAAATGCAACAATATTATAATAGAATTTTTTCAATGCCCAATAAAATTTTCCAGGTATTTATGTAAGAAAGCAAAAGTTAAGTTGCTGCAATTATAAAATAAAAAAAATTATGAATTTTTTAAGAAAGGTAAATTATATTTTCTCATATTTTTTGTCACTACATTTATGACTTAAAAGTATTTTTAAAGAAATTCGCTTTTCTAAGGAAACTGCTTTTGCTCTCAGAAATAAGATGCACAGATTTGATGTCTCACCTCACTGGAAGTTCTATCACAGTATGATACTTTATGGGCAAATTTTCTTCACCACCACCAACATCAATAAACTTCTGTTGCTCTCCAGGTAAGTTAGAAGTTAATGCCCTTGATCGAGCTTCTTCCAGTGATAACAGCTTTGTAGGGGTTGAAATTGCCAGAGATTTAGGTCTTGTCTTTTTTGGTGTTTCTAAAATTAATATATGTACACAAATAAATCCATTATATAGATAGTCATACATTAAACATACCAAACTATATAAAATCCACTTACTTACATTTGCTAATTATGCTGTTTGCTTAATTTGCAGTCATAAACTTTTGTTATTATGATTACAGAAAAAGCCCAACTATCTGGCATTCATCTAATCGGAATATTTTCAAATTATAGAATTTTTATCTTTTTTGAACATCAAATTAAGTTAAAAAAAAAAGATTGTAACTCATTCAATAAAGCACGAATAGAAAGCGATTCGAATCAAATAAAAGAACTGACACCAAACAGTGCGATTTACCGCCAATAATGGAAAAGCATGAGGACGTAACACTATATGTAAATCTGATTCCTTCTCTATAAGTTGGTTTAATTTTTGCAAAAACGATGTAAGTTAACTATATTTAGGACTTGACTTCAATGGAACAGCATGCAGGAGAGTATTTTCACATTTACAGGATCCTGGTACCTAGAAAAGTGCAACTTATATAAAAATGGATAAACACTGGCTGTGCAACATGAAAAATTATGACAAGCGATTTAAGTTTTTGTATATTATTCCTGTATGTTATTTCTGCAACTTATATATGTTGACTAAATAAAGAGGGATCTGTTTTTTCAAACATCCACGGGAATGACTGACACAAGTTCAGTGAAATCTCCACCAGTTTTCATGGTCGATGGAATTTCATAAGCAAATATGAGATTTTACTTTGATGTTTATGTCTAAAAATTCCAGACTGAAATGCCCTGTTTTCGTTTGAAATCTCCCATGATTTAAATGTAGGTGTTTGATATTCAAGTTGATAACAAATAAAATTACTGTTTTTATAATTTAAGACCAGAAATTCTTTCTTCTATTCATATCACTTTTCTTCCGTGAAATGCATTTTTATGCGCTTAATTATCCGGAATTCGGCATTTCCCGATCTTTCCGGATAGTTGAGCTTTTATTATTACTGTTATTTACTTAAAAAACAGACATTTCTTATAAAAATTTACAAGTTAAAAAAATACCTTCACCAAGAACAGGACTAGGAAAAATAGGCATTTTTTCACTGAATATGATGTCTGTATATCTAATGAGGTATTCTGTCAGTACTGCTTGTAACAACATGCAAAGCTCCAACACCACCATTCTCTATATCCCTTGATCTGAAAAGTTAATGGACAAAAATAATTATGTAACAGAAAAAAATTTCTTCAAACATTTACTAGTAACTGATTCTAGAGCTACATGTAACTTCTAGGGTTTTTTTACACTCACCAGTAAATATCCAAAGAGAGCAGAAATAAAATATTAATAAGTATTATGTATTAGATATATAATAATTTGTTTTCAAATGATTCAATATTTTAGAAATCATCAGAATAACTTCGCAAAATTTGCTCTACAATTTATTAGAATACTTTCTCTTTCAAATAATATAAAATTATCATAATTTATGAAAATATATTTTGTGCCTCATTTTGTTTAAAAAAGAAATGCAAAGATAAATTAAAAAGATATTGAATAAAATTGATGAATTAAATAATTTCCAGCATTTATGTTATACGTACAAAGTTCGTAATCCGGACGTCCACTATCCGAAAATGATCTATATAGCTTGTGGCTTCGAGGTCCGAAATGATATATATTTCGGACCTCAAAGCCACAAGCTTTACGCATGCGCGTAAAGAATGCGCATATGCTTTACGCATGCGCGCATTGAAAGAAATGTTTAATAAAGTAAACAAATAAATATTAAGCTTTTTTTTTTGTAAAATTCGATACCCTTTAGATCATAATTGCTATTATTTCATAAATTACGGTTTCATATTCCTAATTGTATAATTTCTGCATGCCATCTTACCAGATTTAAATTAATGATCTATAATCTGGAAAAACGCCTAATCCAGAATCGTCGAAGTACCGACGAGTCAGGATTACAGACTTTATACTGTAATAAATAACACATTCTAAAAAAATACATCTTAAAAATTGAAACGAATTTATTTTAAAATATGTTACAGATTAATGAAAAAAACAGCTGAACATTTTAAAACACTTGAGATTATGAAAGTAATACCTTCTTTTTTAAAACATATCTACAATACTTGCAGTCAAATATGAACAGAAGGAATGTAACAAATGAAATATGTAAAAAAAAAAAAAAAAAACTAAAGCAACAGGAATCAGCATGAGTAAAACTTACTTACATTATGCCAGTTCCAGTTTATTTATTATTGGTTGCTTTACAATGAGAAGGACATTTAATAACAGAAAAAACTAAAAGGTAGTGTATGTGTTTAATGGTAGATTTATGAAACAGGCAGCCCTCTTCTTAAGGCACAGAATACGTTTATTGTATGTTTAATTAAATATGCCTATGTTCCTGTATCTAGCCAAAGAAATCAAATCTAACTCCAGTATAAAAATATTTAAGAATAGCAAAGGTATTAAATACTGCTAAAAGTTTCTGTTTGTATATTATATAACACAAGTTACTCTTCCTTGTGTTTTCACTTTTAATGCCAAAAGATTTTTTCCCATTTAGTATGCATGTTATCTACTTTTCTAATAAAAAATAGTGCTTTTTGAAACACAGATATATAAAATTTTCCTACGTAATTATCTTCCCTTTTCCACAAGCATTTGATGAATGATACTGAAGTTACAGTTGCTAAGATGCATTCAAAACTATAGTTATTAAAGCTGAAATCTTTTATAAAGATGCTTTGGTGGTTATTTAAATTAAGCACATTTTCATTATTTAACTGTTGTATTTATACCACAATTATATTGCTACTTCAATTTAAATAATCAGAATTGGTGTTATCAGTTATAAAATAGTAGAAACTATTCTGTGTAGACAGTCACTATTAAACCCAAAACAAGTTTAAAATATACACATGTCAATTAATGTTACTAGGGGCAATTTTAGCAAATATATTCTTAATATAAACTGAGTTAGTGTCAAGTAAGATGATTAATTAATGTCAAATTGTACACTTTTTCCCTTTTACGATAGTCTAGAATGTACATAACATAAAAAGTGAGAGAAGTATGTTAATAAAATCAGTATTTACTATCATAACTGATATTTTCTTAAATGGATTTTTTTCAATTAGCAGATGATTATTTTAAACCATCCAAGATGAAAAGTGCTCTCATTTAATGTGTCTCTTCTTAAGAAATTCCTTCAGTTAAAAATATTAACTGCATTCCAATCTGATAGTAAATTATTAATTTGTGTTTTCTCCATTTGAGATATGATTTCCATAATGCATTCAGGTTTTCCCAGCTAACACAATTGTTTAAATAATTTTCAGATCCACATAAATTTTGTTTGCTTGCCTGAAGCTACATTTATAATCGGATTTTTAACCTTATTTTACAGATAATACAATTTAAAAGACTGAATGTAAATTAAAAACAGCTACTGTAAAGAAAAAAATATTCAGAAGATAAAGGAAATACTTGTACCTTAATAAATTAGGAGCCCACACAATAGCAACATTTTTGGGGGTCATTCCAGTCTGAAAACCATGAGCTGCAACTTTACTCAAGTGCCTCATCAAATATTCCAATGATCTGTAATGAGGAGGAGGTAGCTGCTGAACCACATCACGTAGCTTCAATAAGCGCATGTCTTCATCAGCTTGTACTGCATTCTGAGTATTAATGTAAAGAAAGGAAACAGAAAATTTAACAACTGAGCGCAAGCACACAGATTTTTTTTGGGGGGGGGGGTGAGGCATTAAACACAAAAATTTCATTTTGTATCTTTCCTATCTTTTACAAAATACTTTTAGTAAATCTAAAATATTTTGATTGAATATCTAATAATTTATCATGCAGAATTTAAATGGCCTAGTCATATTGATTCATTTGCAAAATATCTGCAAAATTAATTTTTGATGAATATTATACAATTATGAAGTCAAAATACTGGTATATTATGTAACTTTTGAACAGCAATTAACATCTTGCATGTAAATTTCACTTCATTAATGCATCAAACTGTTAATAAAAGTTAAATGGCACAAAACTGAAAATAATTTTTGAAATATTTTACAACAATCTTACAAGTATTAAATTACACAAATCATCAAGACTCTGTGCTGATAAAAGAAGTCGGTTCTTCTCTCTTGTAAGGATTTAAAACTTAAAGAAGATTTATAAATATATAGATATAAGATATAACAGTAATCTGTCTCCCTCTTCCCTTTAATTTCTTTTAAACTTTCTCTCTCTCTCTCTCTTTTTTTTTTTTTTTTTTTTTTTTTTTTGTGTGTGTGTGTGTGTGTGTGTGTGTACTTGTATAAGTAGGTCATATTTTTGAAAAAGAAGCATTCTTAAAATTACTCAAAAATTGTTTCCTTTATACCTTTTAATCAGAGATTAATTTTAGGAGATCTTACATTAAAAACAGATCTTTCCCTAAACAACTTCCTTCTATGCAAAATAATTTATTGACTCATGCAGAAGTAAACATAAAAGAAATAGCAATAATCACATAAATAAAGACAGAGCTCTGAGTTAAAAATTGTCTGCTTAAGGACATGTATTGTAATGCATTCATTTTTTTAACACAATCAAACATATCCATTTAATTTTGATCAAATAATAAATTTTGCAACACAGTGTAAATTCATATATTTAGATAATTATTCTAGCCTTGCTCAATCAGCCTGTAAAGTGAGTTTTAAAATGTGCAAATTGATACATGCTGTAATACAAAAATTATGCATTAATACTTAAAAGCAATCATAAAAATTTTAACTATCTTTTATATAGATTAAGAAATTTAATTAAAGAACGTCTTACCACAAATTTGTCATATAAGTGGAATGTTAAGAGAGGATTTGGCAATTCACGGAAGTACATTTTTAATAATGAGGCAACACAGTGAATATCTTGCACAATAGCTTCATCCATCAAATTTGGCACTCTGTCCTCATCAAAAGCAAGTCTAATAAGTAAAGGACACATGTAAAGACATTTAAAGTTTAGAACAGAAAATGCTTTTCGTCTAAGATACATTTGGAATTAATTATTTAAGTAAGATTTGATTTATATTCACCTCAGTTTTTGGATGTTCGATGTAACACCTGACAGCCTGTATATTCCATCAACAATTCCATGTTGCTCAATAAATTCTGTACAGCATTTTAAAACAAGAGGAACTGTGAGAGAGGGGTGGAAATCAAGATTAATACTAAAATCAGAAGGCAGTTAAAATTTTAAAATAAAAGTTTCTTTCTTTTTCATGTTTACTACATTATCATTTCAACATTCTAATCTGCACAAAACTACAAAATTTATAAAAATTAATTCTGTTCATTTTCATAAAAAGCAAACTGAAATATTTCCTCACAACAGTAAATTGACAATGATACAATGATTGATAACATAATATATAAATAGTTATCTAAAATTGTTTATTGAAAGTTGTATTAATATTTACACATTTTGATGGCTAAGCCATAAAATATTCTATAAATTTAACAAAAACCCTATAGGAAATTCAACATATTCACATTACTGTACTATTTCAAATATACATTAGAGTGAAACTTCGAAAAACAATTTTATAGCCCATGTTGGGTACTTTTATTCATTAAAACTGACTTCATAAAAGAAGCCTTTAGTTGGTAAAACATATTTATGTTCATAAAAGGAACATTCTTCCCCTCCCAAAAAAAAACTGCAATTTATTGATCTACAATTTTTTATATGATAAATATAGCTCAATAGAAAATGGTTTTTTAAATTAATATAAACACACTTAGTAATTACTTAAATCGCATTACTAAAATTTGATTGCAATAGAAAAACAATTATTTTATCAATTAATATAAATAAAAAAGTTCTAGACATTTTAAAATAATAAATTTTTCATGCAAATTTTACATATGTGATGACTACATAAGTACAAATAAAATGAAAGTATGGACACCACATGGCTTCCTTGTACTGCCTATTAAATTATACACATTTTTTAGGGCACTTCATTTAAACTTATTCCCTCGAATTTTATTAGAAATATATTTCTCATTCAATAGTTCAAGTCTCACTTTGCAGCATAGCAAAACTACATAAAAACTCAAAAAAATCTTCATTAAAATCTGAAAAATACAAGAAAAACCTAAAGCATCAAATACAGTTAAAAACAGTCAAAGAAAAACAATTTTTGCAATTAAAATTAGAGTTTCTATGCCAAAATAAGCAATTCGACCAACAGGCAGAAAGGCAGTACACAAACATTTTAAGTTCAGGTCCCACTGGACAAAAAGATACCGATGTTTGTGCACCAGCTAACTTAATTCAGTATACTAATAACAACTTCAAATGTAAACAAATAGCTACCACATTAGACATAGAGGATTAAACTTTTTAATTGTTGATAATTTTAAAACTACTATATGCAGATAAACTAAACACATAAAACCTTAACTGGAATACATACAGATATCGTGCAAAAAAATTGTTCAAATAGATTTGAGAGAGGTCAAAATGGATATTTTCATTGAAAAATAATATCCAAAATTTTTCCCAATTATAATAGTTTACAAAACCCACCAAGTCTATCAAATGTGAAGAATTTGCAAAACTGCCATGTCTCTTTTTGAATAAGTTGCATGTTTCCTGAACAAAAAACAAAATGAATGAATTTTTTTTTTTTTTTTTTTTTTTTTTTTTTAAGTTTATTTGGTAGCACGTTTATTTGAAAGCTGTGGAATTTGGTTTTGCAAATTATATGTATTTCTATATTAGTTCTGATAATTATTTTTAATTCACATTAGAATTTCTTATTGCAGAAAGAACATATTTATAAAAAAAAATTACTGCTAAAAAATACTTAATACCTGGGAAACAACATTTTTTACAAATTTTATAGTCATAGCTAAAATAAATATTGCATTATTGAGTAATAGGTTTCTAGATTTTTTTAGTTCATAACATTGTTTCAGATAAAATTTTAATTATGCAGCATGAATTGAAATCAATAAAATTGTAAATTACTTACTGTCTCTCCCGGTATTCATTAAATGCTCTCCTAAATCACAACCAAAAACTCTTTCCTTTAATATTCCACTTTGCTTTAATTTTCGCCTTGATGGCCTTGACAAAAGGAATGATCTGAAGAATGCTATTAATTTCCCATGTTTCCGAAGTACTAAAAATAAAATGCTGTGCTTAAAAATTGTTCAACTATTAAAATAATCAACAAAATTTTTTGAAATATTTTCTATATTTGAATTTTTTATTTAGGTACACGCCAACATTTTTTTGTTGTTGTTTTAGAAATAGTAATAACATGCAAAAGAGTACAAAAGACAGCCTCATGTGAAGACAGATGAAAGAAATACAAAGACTCACATGAAGGCAATTAACCAAAATAAAATTTCAGAAATTATCTTGTCAATTGATATTGTAAAAGGAATAAAAATTATGAATCAAGTTTTTTGTCAAATTTTTTACTCGTTATCATTTTGATTCGATGAATAAATGAACTCATCAAATAAAAACATTTTATTATATATTTCTATAAGTCGTAGCAATTTATAGTTGTGTTTTATACTTTTACATATACCAATTTCACAACAATCTGCATTACATATACTACTTCTTTTAATGTTTTCTAAAAATGTGTTTCTTTCGAAAACAGGTAAAAAATGTCCACAAGAGAAATTTTACACTTTTTTTGTTAGGAAAAAGCGCTCAAATGCATAGTAAGCCGCATATTTTGCCTTGCGTTATAACTCCATGTGGTGTAATATTTTGTGTGCTATGCTATATTCAACTAACCCAACTGTTAAACATAGAAACCTTTAACTTTCTCACTATCCGTCAGATGGCGCCACAAGATGTCAGAAACAGACATATCAATTAAAATTAGTCATTTATATGCTGTGTTGGATATAGGTTATGGTGAATATCTCTATTACATATTGTTTTATTTTTCAGTATCTCTAACCATCAATTGTAACTATTCTTGAATTTAATTTCTGGTGCTTAAACTGAACATGGATTAATATTTTTTTTGTATGAATCACATCATCCATATTTCAGAATGAATGAGAAAGAAAATGAATTACTTTTAATATTTAAATATAGCAAGAACTAAGACTGCAATTATATTTTTAGTACATTAAATGTGAAATAAAAAAATTACTTTAATGTAGAAAAGTTCAAAGAAAAGATGTAAGAAACTATATGAAACTGTAAAATCTTAAAAGAAGACATTAAGATTATGCAACCATAGTACATGCAAATAAAATACGTTAAAACATTTACATGATATGTTATGGATTACGAAAGAAAATATGATTCACTTGAATTACATTGTAAAAAAAGGGGGAAAGGAAAAAGATCACTTTAATAATTTAATATAAGAAAAGCACACTTTTTTTTTTATATATTAATTAGTGGGTAAATGCAAATACAGATTTGAATTACCTGGTTTTGCTGGTGCTTTAGGAATTTTGATAGACTGTGGCACTTTATCACCAATAATTTCGACACATTCACAAGGAAAGAATCCAACCTGAAAATGCAAAGTGCTTGGTAAGAAAGGATAGCACAAAGTCCTTGATAGTTATCCAGAGCTTA